TCTCTCTCTGTTATAATTTGATTATTTTATTTCCAATTTCCAAATCATTTTATATTCAAATTTGACTCAATTCTCTGAACTGTTGATATTATGCAACCTATGATTAATTGTATATTAAATGAAATGATAATAAATTGAATTATAATTATGTTTCACTAATGAATGCATCAGTTATTACTCCACTCATTAGATTAGTACCACAGCACTGTCTGCAGTGACAATACTATCAATACTACGGCTACTTCTCAATCATCTTATCATTGGTTATGTAATGGTATTATCTGTGGTAAAGTTGAGATCAATTGGATGGACACCTCTGAAGTGATGATGAAATAAGTGATGTTTGTATGGATTGCGTGAATGTATGGCATGTTATGTGAGTGAGTGAGTGCACTGTCAGTATGTGTGTGACTGCGAGTGCGCACAAGTGGTAGACATCTGTAAACAGTGGCAAACAGTTTGGTCTGTCTTTGGCTCCACTTATGGCTGAAGTGATTGTCTTTTAGTTGATATCACGAGTATATGAATCGCATTACAAGCCATCCATCACATGATGGCATCGTTTCTGATGCTCTCATATCTAATTAAAGCCAAATTCAAGAGAAAGTTATTGATTTGTCACTCAATCATCGCATGCATTGTTTTGTGTCATTTGATCCCAACCTTCGCCAGTCACTCGATATCACCCTCCAGTTCATCCACTTGTGGTGATGTGCTCTGCTTTCACGGCACCTGTCATGACGGCCGTTGTATATGTGATAATGGATGGCAGGGCTCGGCCTGTCATCGGTGCGGAGGAAGGATTAAGTATGACATGAAGTGACCATTTGTTGAGCACTGAATCCCATTTGAATGACTCGTTTGCATAGATTGGACGCGCCGTCAGGTTATATAAGCGATGGCATCGGGAACTACAGTACAGACCTTCAGTGCACATGGATTATAGAGAGTGGTCTGAACGACTCGGTCATCCGTCTGGAGTTCGTGCACTTCGAGACGGAGTGTTCGTGGGATCACTTATACATCTTCGACGGCGACTCTGTCTTCTCGCCAGTGTTGGCCGCCTTCAGTGGTATACTCGTCAGAGACGGACATGTATTTCAGCGGATCCCCGAAATCAGTGCCCATTCCGGAAGAGCTTATCTATATTTTTATAGCGACGCCGCCTATAATATGAGTGGTTTTAATATATCGTATAGTATTAACACGTGTCCCAAGAACTGTTCGGGTCATGGAGTGTGTGTCTCGCCATCCCTGGGCTGCACCTGTGATGCCGGATATGACGGCGAGGCCTGCGATCGACTTATTTGTCCCAACGATTGCAGCGGACATGGAGTGTGTGATAGAGAGCAACACAAATGCAATTGTGATTACGATTACGTGGGCATTGACTGCAGTCAACCACAGTATGAGGGCTTCTGGACTAATGTCAATGCCATCAAAGGGGTTAAGGGGAGGGCTCTTCACCAGTCAGTGCTCTACGAGAACTCCATGTTTGTGACGGGAGGCGAGTACTATGAACCTGAAGAGTTCCTCATGAGGTTTGATCTGAAACTTAAGAAATGGGAGACCATTAAAGCGGACCCCCATTCAGGCGGTGCGCCCTCCGAACGGTTCGGCCATTCCGTTGGTTTATACGACAACAAACTTATAATGTTTGGCGGAATGATTAAAAACGGAACCATTACTCGAGATCTTTGGGCGTATGATATACTGAAACAGAGATGGGATCTATGGGTTGACGGCGACGACTACTTCTACACCCCCTGTGCCACACCTTATTGCAGTCCATTGCCGGTGATGGGACATACGGCTACTCTCATAGACAATCAAATGATAGTCATATTTGGATATAATCCTGTGTTTGGTTACCTCAATGTTGTCCAGGAATTCAATTTTTGTAATATTTTTATTGTTTAGACTTTGATTTGATGTCATATTAATGTAATTTTCATTCCCAAAGTGAGCAAAACCTGGCAAATGATACAAACTCGAGGAGCTATAGTGAAGGGAGGTTTCGGTCACTCGAGTTGTTATGATTCGGTGACAAAACTTATTTACGTCTTCGGCGGTTATCACTCTCACGGCGCTTCCGATACTATACTCGTTGACCTCCTGTATGGCTATAATCCTCGTTTCAAATCATGGTTTGTATTGATTATTACAAATAAAATAGAAATTTATTAAAATAATTATTGGTTTGTTGGACAGGATTTTGCTGAACCCGAGCCAATCGCCCCGTTACCTGCACAGCGCAACCATAATCAATGGCTTAATGCTTGTCTACGGCGGTAATGGTTATAACGCGAGTCACTACAACTCAGGCGACCGATGCTTTTCCCCCCAATTCCTGTCCTACGAAATCTCATGCGACACGTGGCGTACACTGAAGGACCCGTCGCCCGCTATCCTATTGAGCGACGCGGGCTTCGGTCGTTACGGTCACTCCAGTGTCTTATACGAGGACTCAATCTACATATTCGGCGGTTTCAATGGTGTAATGCTCAGTTCGATACTTAAATACTCACCGGGAGATTGTCGTCGGTTTGTCACAATAGACGAGTGCTCGCGAGTGAGGGCCGGAACCAAATGCGTGTGGAATAAAGACAAGAATGTCTGCCAACCATTCAGTGCACAGAAGGCATCGCAAGTGTCGGCGTCGCTCTACAGTCCATGCGATAGTGTTTACGCCAACTTCACGGAGTTGTGCCAAAGACAGACACTGTGTCCGTCGTGTCTGGAGAACACCTATGGCTGCGTTTGGTGTAGTTCTGGCCAATGCTCTCATCAAAAATGTCGTAAAACCGGTATCAAAGATGAGGTGAAGAGTATCAGCGACTCTTCCAGATGTGAAGACGATATTCGGAGTTCTAATTGTGATAAACTTCATAACTGTCACTCATGTCATACCGAATACCAGTGCGGGTATGGATGTGTTATAATACTCTATACGATGATAAGTTGCAACATATTTAATACGATTGTTAATGTTTCAGATGGCAAAGGGATTCAAAGTGTTATACATTTGTTAGAGATTTCGACAACAAGACTGAGAAGACTGGCCTTCGCGATGATCTGAAGCCCACGTGCGAACAGCCCTGTCATACGCGTAATACGTGCGAGAACTGTACGGCCGGCTCATGCATGTGGTGTAGTTCCACCCGACGCTGCATTGAGTCGAACGCATACGCGGCTGTCTTCCCAATTGCTCAGTGCATGGAGTGGACAATACATCCATACAAGTGCTCGGGTCTCACCTGTTCTGATATACAGACATGTGATAAATGTTTGAAGAATCCATTGTGCGGGTGGTGTGATGACGGCACCGGTACGGGAGTCGGCATCTGTTTGGAAGGCGCCTCAACCGGACCCTATATGTGGAACGGAACACATTATTCGCTTGTAATGAGTGCCTGTCCGGCCACCCACTGGCACTTCTCCCACTGTCCTGATTGTCAATGCAATGGTCACTCGCACTGTATGGCAGCCAACGTATGTCACAAACCGTGTCAACACTTGACTGAAGGCACTCATTGTCAGTACTGTATGGCCGGCTATTACGGGAACCCAATAAATGGTGGGAACTGTACGCCGTGTTCGTGTCACAGTCACAGTGTGTTCTGCAACCGGGAGTCAGGCAAGTGTCACTGTACGACCAAGGGCATCACTGGCCACCACTGCGAGAAGTGTGACGAACAGAACAATTACGTGGGAAACCCTCAGGAGGAGGGCGGCTCGTGCTTCTACAACCTCACGATGGGCTACCAGTACACCTTCAATATGTCCAAACCCGACGACCGCTTCTACACTCGCATCAACTTCATGAACGTACCCATGACTCCGGACATCGACGGTATGTATTAAACGCAACCTTATGTCTACAACAAGTGTTCCACTCCTTAACCAATACTACTCCTCTTTCCCTGATTCAGTCGAGTTCATGATCCAGTGCCAGGAAAGTGCTTTAGTCAACATCTCCATCGGCTCCGGTATGTCATCGATGAGCCCATGAGTCGTAAAGTTAATGCTAACTCTGTTTTGAACCAATTGTAGCCACGTTTCCAATCCGTACTCTTCACGAGCGACTCGAATGCGGAAACTTTAAGCTTCGGTTCTCTCACGACGAGAACCTCTTTGGCATTGAAAACACAACCTTTTATGTGAATGTCTTTGCTTTCTCGACACCATTTGTTCTCCAGATATCATTCTCACAGCACCGGACTCTCGATTTGCTCCAATTCTTTGTCACTTTTTCGAGGTTTCACTCAAATATAATGTTCATATTATGGGACCAATACTTAAGCCATTTATTTGTGATTTAGTTGTTTCCTAACTCTTCTCATAATCGCTGCCATTCTGTGGAAAATTAAGCAAAAGTATGACTTATATAGACGCCGACAGGTATGCAATCATTTGGTCAACATTTGTGTGCAATGTTTCAATGAAACGATGTGTTTGTTGGCAGCAATTGTTTGTAGAGATGGAACAAATGGCTTCGCGACCCTTCGCCACAGTTGTCATTCATATCAATAGAGAGCAAACAAACTTCAAAGACAGTCGAAGCCATGATTGTGATAACCCGACGCCAATCGCATTAGAGCCGTGCAATACTGGCAAAGCGGCTGTCCTTTCACTCATCGTGCGAATGCCTACGGGAGGAGTGGTAGCAACGCCTCCAGGTATGAACCTGTCATCTGAACGCTTTGTGTATTTTTAGGTTTTTGTCTTAATTTTAAAATATAGTAATTTTTTGGTAATGAAGTGTAGTTTTGAACTCTTTTTTTGCAGTAAATATACCGCTTAAAAATGCAATGTTTTTAATAGAGTAGCATTTTGTTTGCCAAATGTTTTACACGTTTGTAAACAGATTCCAGGTTTGAGTCATTCATATAAAGCGATTGTTTACTGAAATTTAGGTCAAACAGGAATCGCGATCGCTTCAGCACTGGTATCCTTAGGAACAATCCCTTTGGAGCAGAAGTCTAATAAAGAGACCGATTGTCCCAACAATAAAGTGATCAATAGTTCAAATAAGTTAAACAACTGTCCGACCACTACAACCAACATGACTGGTGTTTAGCATCTCATCATTGAATTCATAATTTATTCAAAGTTTTAGTTCTTTTTGAAGTTTTTTTTATATATCTATTGAACTCTTATTTTTTATTTATTTAGATTTAATATGAGATTAAATTCATTTGTAAATAGTGTCACAAATAACATGACAAACAATCACTGATTAAAACACTTACTCATCAAATCAAACAATCAGTTAAATGACAATTGGATTAAAGATCTGTAAAAACAATTATAAAGTACCAAGATTTATAACTATTTAGGATTTATATTGTATTATAATGTCTCATAGATTACATTTAATGATAATTAAATTTGTGAATTTTATTAACAAATAATTAAATAATTTTAATATCAATTTATGTATTTTTATTATTACTGTTAAAACGTGATTTGACAGTATTTGCATTTAATATTTATTATTTATTGTGAATTGTGTGACAAATGTGGACTTGAATTGAAAACTGAAGAGGAACTGTATATTATCGATGGTTTAGAACCCAAAAAGATTTAACAGATAAACAGAGTATGATATTTATATGTCATGTAGACATTGATGTGATTAATGAATGAATGGATGACACAAAGAGCACAAGAATGCTTCTGGTGTCATAATTACCTTTTCTTATTATACAGACAGTAGTGTTTCAATAAATTAGTTGTGATTAAAAAACATGTTTGAGAATTACTGTCGAGACTTCTGTTTACAACAAACTTTATATCGTACTCTCAAACTGTTGGTTCAAATTTTATCATAAATATTATGAAATAAGTTTAACACATATATTATTAAGGAGATTGAATTATATTTTAAAAAGAAATAGTGTTGTAATACTCTAGAGAGAGAGAGAGAGGGAGGGAGAGAGAGAGAGGGAGGGAGAGAGAGAGCTCTAGAGGTGGCGTTCATTGTGCGGGTAACTGATCGATGGGCACAACAAAAGTGAAATCTGATGGGAAGAGTTCGCTCCTCTTGGGATACATGAGTTTATAGGACTGTTTTATGGTCACATCGGCCACACCGGCGATGTCCCCGATCTCCTTCTGCGTCTTCTTGTCATTGGAGGCCTGACTGGCCATATAGATGGCTGCGGCGGCCACTGAGATGGGGCTCCGGCCGGGAACGATGTCCAGTTCGACCGCCTTTCGGGCGATATGTGTGGCCCCTCTCTGGACGGCCGGCGGTAGTCCTAAATTGGAGCAGAATCTGGACATGAAGTCGCCGGTAGTGATGAGATCAACACTAGTCTCGAGCGCTTTGAGGATGAGCTTAAAGCAGCGGCCGATCTCCTTCTTGGAGACCTTAGAAACGGCACAAATCTCTTTGAAAGTTCGCGGAACGCCTTCCTGTCGGCAGGCGATGTAGAGACAGGCGGAGGCGATGGCGTCGTTGGACCTGCCCTTCAGAGTGCGTCCGTCGTGGACCTGTTTGAACAGTAGGTTCGCTCTGTCGACGATAGTCTTCGGCAAATTGATTCGGTCCGACATATTGGAGATCTCGCGGAAGGCGTTGGCCAGCGCTCTGTCGGCAGAGGACATGTGCTTCCGGTTCTGGTATTTGGCGACTCCGGAGGCGTCGAAAGCCACGTCACTATTGCTGCGACCAATCATTGTCGACAAGTCCGACGACAGCAACGGGTTTTCGGCGGCGCCCACACGCGACGGGTCGACGTTTGACTTCTCGTTGCTGAATGTCCGCCACTCCGACCCCACGTCCACCACCCGATCGCCCACTACTAGCCCACACTCCGGACATATCAGGTCTCCCGCCCTGTAGTCCTCTATCAGGTGGACGTCCGGATGGGACGGACACTGCACTCGTGCGCCCAATCGGCCCGACATTGCGCTCACCGCTCACCCGGTCTTCACGTCTTTGTCCGATGTCTTGTCCACAGTCTTGTGGTGGAGACGACGCGACCGGTGTTTGGATGAGTCAAGTGATCAATGGATTGATGGCAGGAGTGGTGTCTGGTGTTGAATGGCCTCAAGACTGGGACCAGTGTTGGTGTTGTGATGTTTGCGATGCGTTTCAATCACTCACTCAATCCGTGCCAACACTTGTCTCCACTCACCAACAGATGGCATTCAAACACTCTATGCTTTCCATTGCATTCACTTGTATTGCAATCATTTACAATATTCACATCAAATGATTCACACATTTTGCACACGGTTTAGGATTATGTCCGTATCATTAACTCATTAAATACTATATTAAGTATGTCTATGTCATCAACAGATATTGATTATCAAAGTTATTAACAATTATGACTAAATGACTCTTTGGTCACTTCAGTCACTCAACTTTATCTTTCATTTACCAGTTAGAAATTCACTGACACCTAACTGTAAGCTTGCCTATACAAGCTTACTATAGTAACTATACAAGCATAATTTAAGGAATATTACTGTTATAAAGTTAGTGTATTTTACAGAATTCTGTATGCTAGCTTTATTAAATTGGAATTTTATATGAATACCTTGACATTATTCTATACGAAACAATACTGTAATGCATGTAATAATTATGAACACTAGTTATAATTAGCATTTTTAATAAGCCAAAGAATGTGAATAAAAACTTTTGGAAACTATTTTAAAGTAAATCTTTGTTAAGAATTTAAGAAAATATAGCTTAATCTGTAATATAGTGGCAATTTTTTGAGTGATATATTAAAGCATGTTGTGCTAAAAATATGGAAACTTTTTTATTTGTGGTAATGAGTAACAAATGGTTATTTATGACAATGTTTTAGTGACAGAAAGCACAGGCCGTGAGCGCCCGTACCACAGGATGACAGCCTTAGTCCATGTGATGGCATATCCATAGCACGCGCACAAATGCGTGCTTCCGTTCCCTTCAGACGACAAATGGGATCATAAAAAATGTTGGCTCTCTGAACATACTGTCCACTTAAGTGTCTTCTCTATTGACAACACTTTAAGTGGAATCAGCGCCAAGTTGGAGAGAACCTGTCGTACGGATCACATTTCCACAGAGGGTTGTGCCTCCCTGTCCTCCCCGTCCACATCTGATACATACAATTCAATACATTATACTGTATTACTCTTGGCTTATATTCTGTTTGTTATTGAAATACAGTAGGAATTGGCGCACTTTTTATTGTATTTTTTTTGTAGATAATATAATTTTATAACTTTTCAGTCATAGCATCAAATTGAAAACACTTAATCATATAAGTTGCAATATTTTTATTTTTAATATTTGTGGGTATTTTGAACTCATTTTAATAAAATTTAAAAATTATGCAATTTCTGTGAAATGTTATACAAAACTAGCAAAACTTTGTTTATATTCTCTATGAATATGTTTAATTAAAATTCTGTAAGTCTAATACTATGTCTACAGTGATATAAACATATTAATCAAATATGTAATCAATTCTTAGTCTATATATTAATATTTATCTTATATTCTGAGCACAGACTTCAGAATAGTTTAGATTGTGTTAAAATGAAAGCAAAATATTTACGAATATAAGTTAATGTGATAGTTGTTTGAATAAATTAATGATTAATTCAATGAATATCAATGACCAGACATAAAGTCTTTAAGAAGATAACAGATTTGGTATAATTAATCTCATCCCTTGTATACAATCCTGTGCTAAATGATGGGAAAGGGAGTTTGTTTTTTTAAAGTCTAAAATATAGCAAAACCTAAATTAAATGAACACATGATGTGAGGACTGAAAAACAGAATCCCATAGAAATGAATAAACAGTGAATTCGCTTAGCATTTGCTGTAAAATATGAAAAGGCATTAAAATCATCTCCTCATGCGATTCATGCAAAACATATTGAATATAAACTTCTTATAAATGATTTAATTCACTCTTCATTTAGTAGATATTTGTTTATTAAAGATTTGAATAGAGTTTTCGGCAAATATTTTGAGTGAATAACGCATAAAGTTTTGATTCAATGTTTTGATTCAAAAGTTGTGTTCAGTTTTGGATGTCTTAGCGTTAGGACACCCGCTGTTCTCTCCTTATGAGACAGTTTTGACGAATCAGAGCACTTGAATGCTGAGTCTCGCAAAGCTGTGGAACTCATCTTTTTGGTGATCCCACACCTCTGTGCCAGTGCTGAGCATCTCTTGGCAGCGCCTCAAAGACCGCAAAAACAGTTTGAATGCATTGAAACACTGGCACTGACTCTACTGTATTGAGAGCTGAGAACATCTCATATAACATAAGCCAAGGCTATGCTGTTGTGAGAAAAATATCATTCAAAACAAACTTTCCTCGAATTGAGTGCAATTGGAGTTTAGGATAGAGTTTGGGTTAGAGTTAGAGTCGGGACACAAATCTGCAAACTTGAAGCAGATCCCCATCTCATACAACACTTGACTCCTATTCAACACAACTGTTTGCGAACTACTCTTCACTTGTCTTCTATTCAATCCAATAGTTATTCTCAACAATCACTCACTTTTTGCCACAATATCTCGTGTTTTATCTCTTTTTAAACCACAATCTCATAGTATCTATAAATATTGTGTAAAAACTTTTGTTCTCTCGTCACAAAAGATGTTTTCCAACTTTATTCATAAATTCAAAATCAACTTCATTTAAAATATTGGTATGTATTTTATTAATTCTTAATTTAAATCAAACTCTCTCTCTCTCTCTCATAATGAAATTGATTTTACATATAGTTTAAGTTATTTATTTTCTTAAATAATATTTTTGTTAAATAATTTAAGGTATTTTTCGAAATTATCAATAGTTTAACTTTAACTTTATACGGTATTATAATATAATTATATTAAATTATCTTTTAAATTTATAAATCTAAATACAGATATAAATATTGCACACTGCATATTATAACAATCTATTAAAGTTATTGCTAATTAAATTTACCGTATATTGAATCCATTCAAATACTGTATATAATTGTTTTCTACTATTAAACAATTAATTTACAAGTATTTGTAGTTTTTACAACACTGTAGCAATAGTCTACAATAGATTAAAAGTTTTTTCTAATGAAATATGTTTAGCAATTGTATAAAATGTATTATATGTGTGCTGTTGTACTAGCATTTGTGGTTTGATAAGTCACTCAATATATGAATCGATCGCTTATTTCAATGTTTTTGTGACAAAAGTGTGTTTTCTTACGAAAATGCTTTCAAACAAAAGTTTTGTGTTAACTCTTAAATCTTTGGTTCATTCAGTCATCCATTGTCTAACAGTCAAGTTATCTGTAATACCGTTATTAACACAATGTAAAGTTTTACCAGTAACATATACACCAAATGTAAGTTTAAAATATAAGTATTTAAATGAATTCAAACTAATCTTTTAATTAACAAAATTGTCTTCAATTTTAGTTTTTGAGATGTTTTAGACTTTTGTATAAATAAATAGATTTTCATGTTTTGTGTGGTAAGTGTTGTTTAGGTTTACATTCAATGCTTTCACTAAATTTATATTATGTTTGGCATATGTTTTAATAATAGACTTCATAAACAAATGTCAGTTTGAGTTCACATTTT